GGATTTTTAGCGGGATATTTTTTATACCATGGGAAGTAATCAAACAAATCATTACTGTAGTCACAGTTCAGAATAGAAGTTTCTCCTTCTTGCACATTCAGGGATGGAGTTTGCTTGACCTGCTGCTGGTCACCCTTCTGTTGACTATTTACCCCTGTTAGGAAAGAGAATAACAGATTTTAAATTTTATTCTTAAAGTCCCCACAGAAAAACATCATGAGCCAGAGCACAAAACAAAATAAACCACAAGTTCCCAATTATCCCATCTCCCAGCCTTCTGGTGCCTTGTGGTGCCTTGTGGAGGTTTTCTACGATATTCTGACCTCCTACCCAGAACTCACAGTCTGGCTGAAGCCACAGAATCAACAGCAATGCCCCCAGGAGCTTGTCCATTTCTCCTGTGGACTCAGGTTGTCCTCTCTTCTGCCCAAGCAACCATAAATCTGACTTCAACTTCCTGCACTTCATTTCCTTCCATGGCCTTCTATTTCTCATGTGAGCAGCCTTGTTTTTAGCTGTTTATCTTTATGAAAGGAAGCACTGCCCCCTTTAGTCCTCATGTAGAAAAAATCTGAAAATGCATTTCTCTGTTTCCTAAAGATCAATTTGCAATCTCTGCACCATAAAAATGTTAAAATAAGAGAGTGGTGGTGTTTTGGGAGAACACAGGGTGTGATGTTGTCTTTACCATGGTTACAGATTTAGAACACAGGGAGTTTGACAGCTTAGCCTTTAATGTAATTGCACTCTAACATGGTCTTCAGAGGTGTCCATATTTGTTCTGAATAAATAAATGCCACAAGGCAATTAATGCTGTTATAAATTCTGGACACTTCTCTTAAAAACACAAATCAACACAACAAAATTTATCTTCTGTATTAAATCATCCTCTGCATTGGATTGTCTCTCTTAGAACTTAGCTGTGATCATTTTGTCAAATGAGAAAACATTACATAATCCTGTAAAGTTTATTAACAGAAAGAAGCCATAAACTTGAAAGGCACCAGAAGATGCCAAAAGGCAAATGTTTGTTTGCCTTCACTCTTGGTCTATATCTAGCGTATGTCTCCCCAGTTGAATCCAGTGGAAGAGGCAAGAAGAATCTACTGTGCTTTCGATGTTTAATCAGTAGGGCAACTAATGATTGCAGCTAATGATAAATCTCAAAATAATTTTTGGAATTGATTTGAGCAAAGACACAGAAGACAAAATAAAATAATTTTCAATGCATTGGAAAAAACATTTTAAAATTTTATTTGAATAATAATGAAACTAACATTCAGGGAAGTCACACTAACTATCCAATTCAGGACAATCTGATAAGTTGTCCGTGTTTCATATTATATAGTTTAAACCCTTATAATTCAAACTCTCTAGTGAAGGAATGTTCTCTGATTCATTCATTTATTTATAGATTTTATCAACATTTATTTTGTTTCAATGAGGTAACTGGCACTGTGCTCGGTTTAAGGTTTCAAAGATGATTATGGAACAATCTTCAATCTTAAATACCTGGCCGTCTAAATTGAAAGACTAATGTGTAGCTACATCCTTACAACATGGCATGATACATAAGAGTTCTTACTGAGGAAAACATAATGGTTATTTTGTTATGGTGGCTCTAGCAAGCACACATACTAGGTTGCTAATTATTATTTCTTCCAATCGGTATCTGGACACACATTTCTTAAAAATGAAAAAGATTCTCATTCTATTCATTTATATTCTTGCCTAGGATATCAGGGTACAGTCAGTGAAGCAGAGTTACCATAAGTGCTGTGGGATAAGGGCTAATTACAGGGACTTGGGATCTTACACAATTGTGACATGAGCTGGGGAAGTGAAAGTCTAAGAGCAGTTGGATAGTCATAGAAGGAATCCCTAACCAGTCAATCTAAGAACGAAGCATGTCTAGCTGTGGAAATGTCACTTGAGGGGAATTTTATGGAGAATCTAGGGAAGCTACTGCCCCATGAGGCTACCATCTCCATGGGTCCATTGCCAGATAGATGGTAGTGGTTGGTCAACAGAGTCAGCAACAGGAGAAAGTACTGGACAATATATTCATGTTTATTTTGAAATTTTTGTGTGTCAACTCCAAATGTGAATCAATTTGGGTCTGCACCTATTCATTATGTAACCCTTGTTCCTGCTTCATGACATTTCTAGTATTTTTTTTTTATTGTATGCTACATAATGTGGGTAATAATGTGCAGAAACCCTGGATTATTTTGCCTCCCTGTAAAAAATGTTAACTTTGTTAAATTACTAGCAGATCACTTAGATTCTGTTGAGGTTGACTTTAATCTCTGTTAAGGCAGAGATATTTTTCTTCAATTTTCTTTTTGTTTTAGGTCACAGCCCTTACTCCTAGCATTCAGTCCTTATTCTGGTGACTCAGTTGAAAGTTTAAGGTGTTGAGCAAGATCTCTTCACTCTGGAAAGGCCAGAGTTCCAATGTCTTCCCAGCATAGCGCAACCTCTGAAATCTCGTTGGAGCTTTTAGACCTTCAGATGCTGTTTCCATGTTTATCAGATATGAGAGAGTGGATCAATCTATAGGCTTTCCAATGTCTCTCTCTGTACATGCGCAGTTAATGTGTAGGCTCAGAAAAGCCCCTGTACCAATGTCGCAGTCCTATTATATGAGGCTCATTTCTCTCCAATACTGGTTTCCCGCTGATCCCAGTTATATTAACAACCCTGATTCTCATCTCTGTTTTCGCCATTCAGCAAAGCTCCTGCCTTCCGCTGGGGCTCCAAGTCCTTGTGCTGAGGTACAGAAAACGCCCCCAGGAGAGAAATGCTGAGTGCACCTGGGAGTTCCTTTGCAGGCTTGCTTTCTCCCAAGGATTGCAAGCATTCACTGTCTGCACTCCTCGAAAACACTTCTTTCGTATGTTTTCCAATTTTATAGTAGTTTACAGTTGGAAGATAATTCCACTGTCAGCTATACTGCAAGAACCAGAAATTCTTTTTTCTCTTAAGATAACACTCTCACATATTTCCTCTCTTTTAAAGGCAATTGTCCATTTTATTCAATCGTCAAAATGTATCATATTTATCATATCCTGTGCAGCTTATTTGAAATGCTTTCTGCATTTAAAAAGGAATCAGGGTCTTTAGAAAAGTAATGTTTCTTATCATTAATTAGTTTCACAATTCTTTTTATTAGTCCTCAATGCAGTTATCCCTGTCCGTGCTCTGTGAGTATGTGGGCATGCTGAGTGCTCCCCATATCCTTCACCTTACTGTCTTATAATATACAGACAACTCATTTCTAGGATCTGGTTTATTTTAAGTCTCTAATAGCATGAGAGTCATCCATGCACCATGTCTTCTCATTTGCAAATTATATTTTAGGACTTAAATTTGCCTTGATCTATCTTGCTTCACACACACACACACACACACACACACACACACACACACACCCCGCCCGCACTTTTCCTTGACCTGGAGCACCTTTCCCCTACCCGCTTCCATCTTTCAGCCTGATGAACTCCTATTAAACTGTTAGGTTTCAGGCTGGGGTGTCACATACTCCAGAAATCTGTCTCTGACTGACATCTATTTGTTTTCATAATATCCTTTTCGCTCCCAATTCAGTTCTTCTCTTAGTTTACAGGAACTTTATGATAACAAAAATGTGCTCCTCACTAAACTGTACGTTCAATGAGGAAAGGAACTCTTCATTTAGTCAAAGCTCCCTATCCAGGATCTCACAGGTATTCAATAAATATTTGCTGAATGATTGAATATATAGAAGTATGAGTAATGGCAGTGGGAAACACTGTCCTCACCTAGATGAGGATTCTGAGGTACAAAAAAGGTGACTCACTCACCCATGATGATATAGCATACTTGTCATTGGAAATTAGCTTTTTTCCAATGGCTTTCCAAATAATAACAGAGAGGGAAATGGTATAAATAGGTACTCTTGAATATGAACAGAATGAACAATTAAATGCACTGTAATAAGTTGGAACAAAAAACAAGAGAAGGATTACAGAGCATAGCATTGCTCTTTCTTTGATGCTTTCTTATGTCTTAGGTTTGACTTTCTTATGATTTCTCTTCATACATGAGCATGATATAGAGTAGAAAAAAAACAGCTTTCAGGGTGAAAATACCCATTTAGCATAAGCCTTATAACTGGATTTGAGGCATCTTCTAACTGGATTTGCTAATTCACTGGTTCCCTGACTTAGGGATTAGGATGTTAGACATGGTTTAGTTTAGGACAGAGATGGTCACTACCTTGAATATTCATCAGCATTTCCAAGTGTTTTGAAAGTGGAATCACTTTGATTGATCACGTGTGCACTTCTCCACACCATGTTAGAAGTGAGTGAAAGCATGCAAACATCTCTCCCATGTTGCTGGGTGAAGGGACTGCAGCCACACGCACGCCTGGGTTCAGGCTTCAGGTGGGAGGCTCTATGTGTCCACTGCATGGAAGTAAGTGGCTGAATCTCTGGTCTGGGATGCAGAAAGCTCTGCCCATCCTTCATACTAATAATGGTCCTTTGTTTTTTTCTCCTCTTTTTATTCCCCATTTAAATATATTAGAAAAAGGATCATGGAGCTTTTTCCAGGGTTGTATGCTAGCAAGATGTAAGCTAGAAGGATGCAGAAGAGATATAGACTAGATCGGTGCTTTCTTACTCATAGAGATGCAGCGGGAGGTTCTGCTCCACATTGAAGTTGACTGTTCATTCCTGTCCAGAAAGAGAATCAGATATGAGAGAGTGGATCAGTCTGTAGTATTTACCTAGTAACATGAGTCCCACAGAGATCTCAGGATGAACCATGCAGCAACCTGCACTGTAGTGTCAAGTTGTGGTGCATTAGAAATGCTTTCTCCGTGAATCAGGAGATGCAAGGCAATGCCATTTGAATCATACTGGGCCCTTGCTCCCACTCTGTGGGGTGGGTTAGGTCTTCAGCTATGGCTTCATGTACAGGCTGCAGGTGTCTGGAGAGCACTGTGCCCCCACAGCGCAGAAATAAGTGACTGAGTCCCAAGGCTGGGAGTCCGTGATATACAGGTGGCTGTTACGTTCCTTGATATTGACGGTGAATTTTAGTCTTCCTTTTTGCTGCATTCCAGAAGCAATGTACGACAAGGATGTGAAGCGTCCTTCAGGGCTTTGTTGGAACCACTGCACACTGGTCATGGAGGTAGAGTAATTGCATATCATAGAGGCATTTCTGCCCTCTTGGAGGATCAGGACCCTAGGACTCTGCTCCACCTTCATCTGTACTCTTACCCCTGTTGAGAAAGAGAAAAATAGGCACAGGTGAGGGTCACCGCAAAATGACTAGCTGTTTCCAAGTGTAGAACATTTTTTCCTAGCTTCCATCCCCATGGTAGAAGACACAGCCCAAGAGACTGGTGTTCTCCTTCTTCCTCCACTTCTCCTTCACTCCTTTGCTTCTTCCCAAATTCTGTTGTGAAATTTCTTCAGTTTCCCTTTGGGATGTTCTTAACTCACAGCAAATCTGTATCCACAGGAGGCCCAGCAAGACTCCCATTTGTGTTTGCATGTTTCTTGACTCTTCTGTTGTATGGACACTCCTTGAGGTCAAGTCCCTTTAAATCTATGCCTTCAATTTGAAGCTAACTTGTTTCTGTAACCCATCAGTTTCATGATATAGATTTGGCAGCAGCCACTCCTAAACACTGTCACTCAGCTTTGTAGTGGGAAGCTCCACCTACTTGTGGCTTAGGGACCTTCCCCACACTGTAGGGTATTTGCATGTGTGCGCGTAACTCTGTGTGTGTGTGTGTGTGTGTGTGTGTGTGTGTGTGTGTGTGTGCTTGTGCGCGCGCGCGCGCTGAAGATAATAGAGGAATTGTCTTCTTAGCATTTAAGAATACTTTTTCTTGGGGCGCCTGGGTGGCGCAGTCATTAAGCGTCTGCCTTCGGCTCAGGTCGTGATCCCAGGGTCCTGGGATGGAGCCTAACATCGGGCTCCTTGCCCTGTGGGGAAGCCTGCTTCTCCCTCTCCCACTCCCCCTGCTTGTGTTCCCTCTCTCGCTATGTCTCTCTCTGTCAAATAAATAAATAAAATATTTAAAGAAAAAGAATACTTTTTCTTTAAACTCTGAGTATATGTAGAATAATTTGTGTGAAAAATGGGGAAATGTTAGTTTAGCGGAGGAATAGAGAAATAGTTTATATATTATGAGTAAAAGATATTGACCAAACTGAAACCTGAGACATGATCAGACTGAGAAACTTTTCTCAGTTGTGAATGACTTGTTATATATATATATATTTACATATAAATTATACATACATTACATATAAGTACACATAAATATTACAATATATATAACCAATTTCCATTTTTTTACATTCCATGTATCTTATTTGTTGAATTTATTAAAGTCAAATGATATAATAATGGTTCAGGACATATGAACACTATAGAAATAAGAAATTCATCGTAATAGTAGAAAGAAAAATATTTACCTCCTCAGTCTTTTTCATATACATATATATATGTACTTCATATATATTTCATATTTTTTATATATATGAGAAGGACGGAGGAAGTGAATGTTAAATAGTCTATAAGTTAAATTGATAGAGCAAAAACTTTCAGGGCACATATATATAATACCTGAAATATCTATCATCTCTCTCTCTATCCATCATCTATCTCCTAAAAATTTCCACTTTATCGATTTAACGTATAGACCATTAGTTTTTAATCAGGACTATTGATCCCCAGGGGATATCTGGCAATGCCTGGAGACATTTCTGATTGTCACAACCAGGGAAGGGAGAGGGTTGCCACTGGCATCTACTGAGTAGAAGCCAAGGATGCTAGTAACTATCTAGGATGCACAGAACAGCCCCTCGTCCCAAATTCCCTGGCCCCAAATATTACTGATGCTGCTGCTGAGAGACTCATGTAGACAATAATTTTCCGTTCAAACAATCCTCTGCCATTTTCTTTTACCCTTTATTTCTCCGCCTGCTTCTGCCTGTAGGTACTTCACCTCTTCTTTCTTGGCCTCTTTCTTTGCTTTTATTTTTCTGATCCTTGAGTTTCTGATCTTGTATGAGATATAGGCATGGCTTAGAGAAGAACAACAATTTCTAGATGAATCAATGAAATCTCATAGTGGTCCTTGATGCTAAAAAATATGGATTCATGAAACCCCAAAGTTACAGAAATATGAAACGAATTGTCTTGCTTTAATCTCCAGCTTCATTCTGGCTTTTGGAGATAAAAAGAAACTGGGTGAGAAGAAAGCAGGATCGCGTGTGGTATTAACAAGTCTCTGGCTCATCTACTCCCTCCTCTGCCCTGGCCTAAATTAATAGCCCTCTTTCTGCTTGAGGGATTTTCATTCTTCATTCAGCAATGGATCCTGAAAGCTGAAATATACTTTTCTCAGGTTCAAGTGTTCCTTCGTGGACTAACCTAGTGCTGACACCACATTATCAACAGCGATGCAGCCCCAACCCAGGGTTTCCGAGTGTGGCCTTTGGCAACAACGGCAGGTTTCAGAAAGCTCCCAAAGCATGGTGTGCGGCCAGCGTGCTCTTAGAAGTGATTGCTCTGACATCAAAAACTAATGATGTGATGTATGGAGATTAACATAACATAATAAAATTTAAAAAAAAGAAAGAAATAATTGCTCTGAACGGTGGTGGTAGGGCAGAGGATTCTTCAGTTTACAGGCCTTGCAAGCATGATGGCTCGGGCAAACGGCCCTCCTTCCCCATGAGAGGGGGTTCTTTGAAAGCAGGAACAGCCCTTTCCATATTCTGCACAGAGAATATCCCGGGACACAAAAGAAGTTTCAAGTGTACCTGATCTGAGCTGTGGTTCCTACTCTTGAGTTTTTTCGTTTTTAATCCATTGTGCTAGGCAATTCACAAAACATTGTTAATCCTCGGGAAGACACTGTTACGTACCATGCTTACTTCCAAGGTACTTGTGAGGAAATTGATCCTCACACAGCTAATATAAAATGTCGTGAGGGTGCCTGGGTGGCTCAGTCGTTAAGCGTCTGCCTTCCGCTCAGGTCGTGATCCCAGGGTCCTGGGATCGAGCCCTGCATCGGGCTCCCTGCTCGGCGGGAAGCCTGCTTCTCCCTCTCCCACTCCCCCTGCTTGTGTTCCTGCTCTCGCTCTCTCTCTGTCAAATAAATAAATAAAATCTTTAAAAATAAAAAATAAAAAAATAAAATGTCGTGAGAAGCTTTGCACTTTTCACAGTGTGGGGTCACTTTGCAGGGAGAGAGCCAGTGAAGAACAGTGATTATGGAAAGGCACAGGGGCCATCTTCTGGGGCACTAAAAACAAAATCTCCCGACAGTCCAAAACACTGCTCCACAAAGGAAGAGAGGAAAGAAGACAGTTTTATTATTGAAGAATCATTAAGCCAGAACCTAAAGGGCACCACAGGCAATCTGTTAAAGAGATTGCAAAAAAAAACAGAAAGTAATTTTACCCCTTTATGTAGCCCTGCAGAAACAACCCATTACAAGGGTTTTCTCAACATAAACAATAACTAGTCCTCAGGTAAGAGGACTTGATAGGGCCATTTGTCACAGTTCTTCCTTAATTTACCTAGTAATTGGGGTAGCCACCTGTGTTGGCTGATTGCCTTTATCTGAAAGAAAAACTTCTCTTATCTTTATGACAGAAGGCAACATAGAGCAAGGCGCCTGTGGAGTTCAGACTCCTATCCCCCCACAGAAACTGGGAGAGAGGAGTGCCGTTCTTCTTGATGATTCCATTTCAAAGAGATGGCTTCCAGGTGCTTGAGAAAAACATTCCTGGATTATAAAACTGGCAAGAGATTTTTTCAGCTTTTTAAAAGATTTATACATCTCGAAGGGACAGAGAAAGAATCCATAACTACAAGTTTTCTAAAGTAAATATTTTAAGAAAAGGGAGGGAGTGTTTTTCTCTTTTTATAGTGGGAGAATTAAAATTTTTTTTTAGCTTTAATTTATAATTGCCCTTACAATCTTCAAAATGAAGGAGTTTCATGTGATAAAACTTTCAGGGATGCCTTTGGAATAGGTTACTGGAGTAACATGGAATTAAAAACAACAAAAAAATAACCTTTGGAATCTGAAAGTGACAAAAATGTAAGACTACTGTTATTAATTATTTGCATGGAAATTGATGTTGTCTATGGCTGAAAGACCAGATGAGAACCTGAATTCCATAGTCTCCCGTGAGTGTAAGAAATTGATGGAAATTTTTAAATGAGGCCTCTTGGCATGGAAGATGAAAGCTTTTTTCTTAATACAAAATTATAGGAACATTAATACTTCAAGAAGTACATATAATCAATATAAATGCAGGTGCTTTCTTTGTATAAACACAGCGCTTTGTTCACATCTTTTTTTCTGCACTTACACATGAACCCAGAAAATCACAGAGCCATTTTATGTCAGTCCTACTACAGTTTAGCTGCAAGTAACAAAAAATTCAAACAAATAATGATTTATTAAAAATTTTCAAATTTATGCACAAATACACCTGGGGGAGGGATTTGACTTGCCATCTAAAGGAGGAACATGGGATTGGGGAGGGGACTGGTGCCTTTCTGATAAAGTTATCACTTCTGTATTGCAGGAAGAAAATAGTTGGGAAGGGGGACAAGAAAATGTGGTCCCATACCAGGACAGCAAAAACACTACAGGAAACCCTTAGCAGGTTTCTGATTATATCTCATTGGTCAGAGCTGTGCTATGTGCAACCCTTAGTTGTAAGAAAGGATGTGAAACATAGTGCAGGTTTGTTTACTTGTTTGTTTTTAAAGATTTAGATATTTATTTGAGAGAGAGAGAGAGAGCACGTGAGAGCATGAAAGTGTGGGGGAGGAGCAGAGGGAGAAGCTGACTCCCTGCTGAGTGTGGAGCCTGACGTGGGGTGATCCCACAAACCTGAGATCATGACCTGAGCTAAACCAAGCATCCAATGCTTAAATGACTAAGCGTGCCCCTTGTTGTTGTTGTTGTTGTTGTTTTTTAAAGTGATGGGATGATAGTTGCCCAAATCAACATTGATAGTTCTGTTAATAAGGAGGCAGAGGAGAATGGTGATTGGGTTGGCAACTTGCAGTGTCTGCCTTAATGACCACTAAGGTAGGGATTCAGAATATTAGGCAGAGATCAAGTCTTTCCTCCTTGAGAAGTCAGTAAAAATTTCACAGTAGGGATAACATTTCCTTAGAGGCATTAAGAATCATATTTATAGGGCATTTGTTCAGTACATAGGTTGCCCCTGGGACTTCATATAATTTTGTATATTTTATCTCATTTAATTCACAGCAGCTCAGCAAGATAAGTAGTTCATATATTAATAGGAAGCTTAAATGAAGATGAAGAACTTGCCTAAGGATACAGAGCTAGGAAATTACACACAGGATTTGAGCCTGGTTTTTGTGACTCCAAAACCCATGTGTTTTGTATTATATCATCTTGCTTTAGGGACAAATAGGAGTTCTTCAAGTATAAAAGTGGGCCAGTGGGAGGGTTGCCAGGTGGAGGGAACTGTCAACTTCTGGCTTCTTCAGAACAAACTGGTGGTTTCCAGAAGGGAGACGGTGGGGGATGGGCAACAAAGGGGAAGGGGAGGGAGAGATA